CATGCTGACAAAAGAAAGGCTGAACAGGGCACATACAAATGGTTTGAGGGGAAAACAGAAAGAAAACAGAAAAAATATGTATGTTACACATAAATCATGTAGCATGAATGCACGAATGTGGTGTATGTATTCCCATGATTTGAGTGTAAGGTCATAGAAAAAGATCACTTTTTAGAACTTCCACTCATCAAGAAGAAAACGTTAGATTCTCAATTCTTTCAGATTGAGAACACTTTCAGGATCACAACAAGAAATAGGCTTAGTCATGATGAAGCAATGAAATTACACATAAAGACATAATAAAGAGTATATTTTCACTCTCATTAGAGTGATTAGGGAATAAATTCATTAAAATGAAGAATTCATTATTCAACAGAAAGATTGAACATTTTTAGCTTTTAGAAAGTAGCACTTAAAAATGCACTCTGCTTTCTGTGGTGTTGTTCATTTATGTAACCATTATGCCATATGTATATATTATGAGCCGTACAGTGCACTGAAGACACACATGGTAACCCCGTTCTTTTGAACCAAGACAGTGAGACAGTGATGTGAGACATTCATTCATGAGCTACTTAGCAACTTGGTAAGCTGCCTATGGCTTGAAGCCAACAGTTTCCAAGCATATTCAACCAAGAATCACCAGAAAAATAAACCCAATGTCCTCCCAGCTCCTTCTCCGAGATGCCTAAAATCTGTGTTTTTGAAATAGCAAAACATTTGCATGTGCCCATTTGTAAAGGTTGCCTGGATACACAATCAAGGTTTCCCATCTAAAATCATGCTAAAATGCTTACAACAGGCTGAAACTGAGAAGCATATAATCTAATGACTATCGATGGCCTCTTTACCTCACTTTTCATGTATGTGGGAGAGATCAAAGCCTGCCTGCCTCCCTCCCACTGATAGATCTGAACTGGTGGGTGAGGATTTGGCTCTTCCCTCCACCTGGGACGGTAATAGGCCATGGCCTGGGGAAATCTCATTCCCATGCTTCCATCCATGCAGCCCACACCAAAGATTGCTTCTGCTTCTGAAAGTAGGAACAGACCTCTAGGCAAGTCACGGTCAAATCTCGGCACCAAAACAGTCTGTTTTCTGAAATATATCCAGTTCCCTAAAAATAACATCAGCTGAATTCATTGATTCATGGACGCAGTTGTGCAAGGGTCAGGAAAGATACTGCCTGTAACTGTTTTGTACTGAGCCTATTGAATACTACTGTAGTAGCACTGGTTGAAAGAGTAGGGTATTAATGTCAGAGAGAATATATTTGTTAAGAGAAGTAATTATTAGCAAGAAAGTAGACTAAAGTCAAAAGAAGTATGAGTCTGAGTTAAGATAGTTTTGAGAGTTGCCTTTGTGTTGAAATTAAAAATAAAGACACAATAAAGAGCTGAGTTGTTACACTTGTTTTCTGGACTGAATCTAGGATAAGCATGTGGGTTATTCCACATAGAACCAGAAAGGTCACATCATGGATTCCCATGAAAAAAAATATCCAGCTTTTATGCAATAACTCAACAAATGATCTCTAGAATTACTTAGAATGGTGCAATAAAAAAAAACTCAAGTGAGCTGCAGTTCTGCAGACAGAAACGCCTTGTTGATGAGAGGTCAATGAAGAATGGCCAGACTTATTTCAGCAGACAGAAATCTGAAATCATCAGAATGCACAACAGATCAAACCTGATGGCTGATGGGCTACAACAGCAGAAGATCAAGTCGGATTCGACTTCTGTCAGCCAAGAGCAGAAAGCTGAGGTTGCAGTGGGCACAAGCTCACCAAAACTGAACAGGAAAGAAGACATTTGAAGACTGAAAAAAACGTAGCCTGGTCTGATGAATCCTGATTTCTGCTGAGACACACAGATGGTAGGAACAGAATTTGGCATGAACAGCATGAATCCATGGACCCAACCTGCCTTGAGTCAACAGTCCAGGCTGGTGGAGGTGGTGTAATGGTGTGGAGAATGTTTTCTTGGCACTTTTTGGACCTGTTAATACTAATCATTTATCAACCGATTTAAGTATTGTTGCTGACCGTGTGCTTCCCTTCATGGCCGCAATTTACCCATCTTAAAATCGTTACTTTCAGCATGATAATGCACCACGTCACAAATCAAAAGTTGACACAAACTAGTTTCATGAACACGACAATGGGTTCAGAGTTATTCAGTGGCTTTCCCAGTCTGTATTCTGTGTTAATTTTTTGAGAGGTAATCTATTTTTAAATGTCTATTCTGCTTTTTCTTCATTTTCTCATCTTGCTAGCCGTGAAAATTTTCCAACTACCACAACAGGCAAAGCTTTACTTCACTCTATCTCAATCAGATTTCGTCTGAATTCCTAGTTTCTGCTGCTGGTGTCACTACTATTTCTGAGACGTGAAGGCTGTCTTCTCCAGATAATCTAATAACATTTGAGGTCTGTCCTGCAGCTGGAATGTAGGAGAATCATTTTAATGGCCAGCAGGAGAGGACACTTGGTGGGTGTATGAGTAAGAATGAATAATAGATCCCCCAACATCAAGAAATGAAATAATTTATTACCTGTTAGAAAGGATACAAACATCCTAGAGTATCATAAATGTTAATTAAGAAATCCATGTTTTCTATTTAATATTACTCATTTTTATTATTTTATATTATATACTATTTTTATGCCTTAAAAATATTAAACCATAAATTTGTGAAACCACATCTAAACTAAAATTTGTACATGTTGATCAGACATTATTAAGGGAAAGGCTTAAGAAAATATAGTGTCAAAAACATTTATGTCATAGATTTTTATCTGTGAAACCACTTTGATTCCATAATGTATCTTCAAGTATTGCAAGCAGAAATGACTAACTCATAGTTTTGCTAGAAATGTAGGAATACTACATGAATCTTGCAAAAAACATTTTGAAACCCGATAGAAATATTAAATTTCGAAGATGAAAGATTTCATGCACTAATATAAAATGTAATAAATTAACCTGATGGGGAATTTATTCAAGTGAAACTATTGGAAATCATACTCTTAATGTTGTATTTATACCCAGTTAAAATTTCAGGTAAGTCAGGTAATTCTGAAGGCAATTAGATTGAATATTTAAAATGCAAATTTGATGGGACAATACAAATAAAAAAAAATAACTAACTAAAAAACTATTTTGTGCACAGTTCTGCAATGCTGCATGGTTGCATCTATTAGTTTGTAAATGTTTTTCTTTTTTCATGGATATATAGTAGGGTCCAAAAGTCTGTTACCACATTGAAAGCCTGAGATTTTTTAATTTTACCATCTAAACTTGGAAATAGACAAAAGAAAGTTTTACATTTTTTGAAAAGTTATGACAAGTAAAATGATTTAAAAAGTCCAGGATTCTGCAGTTTTTTAAGTCACTATTCAAATTGAACAAATTTGTGAAATTGAGCATGTTAAGGCATTTGTAAAAAAAAGATTTTACATATGCCTTATTTCTCAACCGAGTGGATGCTGTGTGGATGCTGTAACTAATGCAGAAGGAGGACATACCAAATACTAAGAGATCCTGCAATCATGTAAACATTCTACTTTCCACTCAAATTGTAATGCAGATAATATGATTTGTAATTAAACACATATTAAGTTAGAAAGGAGTGCAAAATAGAAGTATTTTCACTAGTGTTCTCAGACTTTTGGACCCCACTGTAGCTGTGATCTGCCCGGCCCTAGGTGAGCTGGTACAGAATAACACATTCTAAATGCACACAGAACATATTTAATTCAAATTGTACTGAAGTAAAAGTAAACATAACACTAATATAAACACAAAGAACCCTACCACTGGCATTTTCCAAATAAAGTACAGCAATAACTTTGTAACACTGGTTACTAGAATAAACTGCAGTTTCAAAATCACATTTATTATCATGGTCCAGTTCTGAGTAAGCTTACATTGTAATATTCTGCATTGTACCTCCCTTTTATTATCCATTGTGCAAGACCTTTGGCATTTTTGAAAAACAAATTCAGAAACATTTTCCTCTTATTCATCAAGTAGTACTGATGAATGAACTCTTTACATATTACATCAATTGTTGCAGATGTTTCAGACAAATACAGGTAAACATGCATTAGCATAACACTGCAAAATATCAAACATCAATATCCTTTTATGCTGTAGATAGTACGCAGGGAATACAAGATAATTTTAGGAGCATGAAACTTCACTGTGATCAATAACTGATACAGTCTGTGGTGTTCTTGTTGTCTCATACCCAAAACAGTGGAGTTCTCAGATATTGGGGATCTTATTTGATCATGTTTTTTCCCAAAGAACATGAGACATATAGTTAAACTGAACATGTCAAACAAACTGACCCCTTGTTTTATAGCCCAGATATCCATCAATAATTTAAAGCCCCTCTCACCAACCCCTCTCACCAAAAAAGGTCACATTAATTTTTCTCATTATAATATTGCTAGACTGAATGGCAAAATACATTGACTAGCCGCTTCATTAAGTACACTTCCTTGTATCTACACTTTCTGTCCATTTTTATCAGCTCCACTTACCATATAGATACATATCGTAGTTCTGCAATTACAGACTGTAATCCATCTATTTCTCTGCATACTTTGTTACCCCCCTTTTGGCCTGTTCTTTAAACATCAGGACCCCCACAGTCTGTAATTATAAAACTAGTGCTCCTATATGGAAAGTGGAGCTGATAAAATGGACAAAAAGTGCAGAAACAAGGTGGCATACTTAATAAAGTGGCTGATCGGCGTACATGTGACTTGAATGTTTGCTTCAGATCTTACGCAGCTCTAAATTTCATGACTCTGCAATAAGACATAAAAGACATGCCATCACCAGCGGAGAAGATTAAAGGTGAGTACAGTAAAGACATATACAACTCACTTTGTGGAGAAGACACTGAAATGTAGTCATCATTCATGGACACAGTTTCACAACAAATACAGAATTGGTAACACAACATCTATATATGCAGTATGATTCTAAATCTTACCCTTGAAATATCACAGTGCAGCTGTGTAGTGCAAGACTGGCAGGTAAACACAAACACGTGGATGTTCTTCAGAGATGTACGGCACATGGGAATTTAGTACAGCAGAGACAAACACAATATTCACATCACACACATGCACTCCTCACCTAGAAAGCATGTCTCTGCTCTGCTGCTTTACAGACTGACTGACAGGTGGAAGGTTTACTCAGCAGAGAGGCAAGGCTACAGGTCATTAAACAGGGGGAAACGCAGCTCTATAGGGGACACACTCTGTTCTCTGAAAGGGGGAGTTGCTTAGAGCCTCCATTTTCATTCTGGTCCTGCTCATCTTCCTCATCTTCCTCTCCAGTGTTCTCCAGGTTGCTCAAGGCCATGGGAACGCGGGCAGCGATGGTGGACATCTCTCCTATGTGGCTCTCCGCTGTGCCCGTGATGGCCCCTTTATCCGATGTCTGGTTCATGTGGGACGAGTCTATGTTGGCGCTGTTGCCTTTGAACATCTGAATCAGGCACTTCCTGAACTGAGGAAAGAGAGCAGGCATGAGGAGTGAACCTGCACATTAGGGCTCCATAATGTGGACAAAATAGTAGTACTGTAATTATATTACTGCAATATTTAGGTTTATATCATTTGGCAGATTCTATTATCCAAAGCGACTTACAATATGATCATGTTACAGCGGGAGGTTATTGTAGTGTCGGAACTCTTGCCCTCCTATTGGACTCCTGTTGGTATAGCATGGTGTGTTTACCCAAGCAGGGAAATCAAACCCCAAATTACCATGTGGAGGGCGACAGTGTTACCCACTATGCCAGGGGTGCCCATTCCTGGTCCAGTAGATCTACTACCCTGGAGATTTCAGATCCAACCTAGCTTCCTATAATCTTCAGAAGCTCCTGGAGGCCTTCATCACCTGGATCAGGTGTGTTTGATCGGGGATCTCCAGGAAAAGGATTTGACACCCCTGCACTATACTATACAAAACAAATTTTATAACAAAATAATTTCTTAACATGGGATTTGTGTTTTTGTTTTTGTTTTTATGTGCATTTTTTAACAAATATATGAAACTATTTAGTTATAAATAAATATTGACTGATTTGCAGTAATTTAATTGTTATTTTGATGTCACTGTGCAGCAATATATTTAACATAAACATAATCACACTTCTGAGTAGTGCAAGTATCTAAGTGTCAACCCCATCACAAAGAAATTGTAAGTTCAATCACAGCAATGTAATTCGCGGCCAGGAGTCTGAGAGAGCATATGTCAGCAGCCTTGTGCAATATAGTCCTAAACTGCAGGTGGAATCAGCTTAACTTTAAATTATAAGGTAACTCGATTACATAGCTTATCTTTTAATTTACAATTTATGGTTCTGTATCTCATTTAGATCAACAATACAGAATTTGTTTTTTGCTCTCTCTGCCCACTAGCTGGGAGTCCTTCCAGTATACCAGATATTTTCTTCTCTTGGGCTTCCGGTTATGGCTGGCCATGACATTCCTGGGGTTCAAACTCACAATCACTTGTTGGAGAGGAATACTTAGTCTGTTGCACCACTTGGGAACAGTTTTGGCAACTTTTTTAATGTTATTTTTAAAATAACGTATTAAAAATGGCCTGCATTATTTGAACCAAAAGAATTTACTTTTATTGTATTACATGAATACCTTGATTCCTCAAAACAGTGGCAGAAACACTCATCTGGAGCTGTGATTGGTCAAGATGACCACAGCACACAATCAACATCTTTGTGACTGGCTATAGGACTCATTTGCATATTGCAGTCTTCTGCAGTATCAATATTGTATTGACATACAGTCTTAATTCACACAGAGGAAGCTCCCTTATAATAAAGCTAAAAGAGACTCAAGCACAGAGAGCTGGTTTGCCTGATGGAATCAGATGTCAATCAAACCAACTTTCTCCAAGGGCAGAAGGAGTTTGATTTGCCTATTCAAAAAAAAAAATCCATTAACATGTAAGTGCACCGCAAAGTCAACTCCGGAAGATAGAGTGGACTTACACAAGTGTGGCATTAAAAATCAACAAGGAAAAGGTCATTAGGCAGGATTTATTCAGTGTTAGGGATCTCTGGCCTTAATTAAAGAGGAAAAGGTCATGGGCACAATATGCTTGCTTTGCACTGCTTTTATATATTTCCTTAAGGTTTCAGATGGACTAACAATGAGGTACCATGGGTAATTACCATGGTATCCCCCTTTCCCAGCTAAATTTAAGATGCAAAAAAGAAGCAGTGGTGAATATACTGTTTCATGAATGTATCCATACACAAAAACTGCATTCCTGAAAATAACTAGCTTCTCAGCAAACTAAAGGAAAATTTGATGTCTTACATAATAATAATAATAATAATAATAATAATATGTTCATATAGTATTAATAGTAGTAATAATATGTTCAAATAGATTCCATATTTGTTTTGCTGAGTTTTCTTTTTTTAATTCCTTTCCCATGCCAGTGACACAGAGAAGCATTTCTTCAAACAGCATCCTTGATGCGCGACCATATTTCACATGTGTACCATCTCTCTTAAACCATTTTTTGCTGTAAACACACCTCATTCTCTGGCTTCTGACTTTTTCTTTTTTCATTCTCTCCTTCTCTCATTCTCGTGCCTTGTCTCTCTTACGGTTCCTTCTCCATCACTACTGTGTTCTATCTATTAATTACTTAGGAAAATCCAGTGACCCTATGACCTGAATTGAGCTTTGGGAACAGCTGGGCCAATTCTGGGAGAGGAGAACAGCTTCAGGGGCTCCGCAGCTCCGGCTCAGGCACAGCTCCGTCCCACCTGGGACCCAACCCCTGGGGGTGGTCTTCAGAACCGTATCATGAAAGAGGGTCTCCACTACTTCTTCATTGCACCAAGTCTGCAAATGTTGTCAGGTGAGGCTCTTTTTTTAACGTACAAATAAATAAAGTGAAGATCCACTGGCATGGACTTAACAGTAGCCATGTACTGTAATCCCTCTTCCAACTGAGTATGTCTTCCTTGGGATTAGAAATGATACATTTACTCAAGTACTTTCATTAAAGCAGAAGGGTAGATCAAGGTAATGAAAGCCATTCCAAGTTTACGGGTAGAGGACCTAGGTCTGGGTAGACTTACAGAAGGACATATAATGTATTTTTCATCAAACCTGCTTCAACCACTCAAAGCCTCATTAAATATTAACGTTTGATCCATTATAGAACTAAGCCAAAACTGAACATCCTTAACTGTTGCTGTCAGCTGCTAGTTTGTCAGATGCCTGTTGTTTGTCTCTGCTAAGGATGGGCACTTGGGTACTTTAAATCCACACTCAGCCAGACTGAGGTAGTAACTGAGTGCTGGCAGGAAGGCTGACCATAATTATACTGTAATATCATAAATATAATTAGGGCTGCAGGAAATGGACAAAATGTCATATTGTGAATACATTGCCTCAAGCTATTAAATCTTGTCATCGGTTAACCCATTAAACTCGAAGAAAAGGTTTAAGAAATTAATCTTAAGCCTAGGCTGAAAGGAATTTCCAATGGTGAATGACCATTGACACAGCAATTTAGGCCAAGACTAGGTTTAAATGATGTCCAGGAAACTGGCCCTGCATGTTGGCCCACACATCAGTTCCTCGTAGTTATCAAATAATTTAGATTAGTTAGAGAATAATTAGTCTTAAAATTATTAACTGAATAATAAAGCCTAGAGTCCAAGAGGATAAAACCTAATAAATCACTGAGAAGGTAATGGATGCAATAAAAAATAGAAATTATTTAGTGCTAATTTAAATATTGCAGCCTATGGCAGAAGCTGACATTGCAATTACAATAAGGGATGATTTTTTGATGATTCGGACATGATTCCAATATCATTGCTTAGCACAAATTTCAGTTTAAAAAATCCAGAGTTTTAAACCCCTTAAAATAACAGGTTTATTATTCAATAACTACAGGAACCTCTGTGCAAACTGGCTGAGCTATTCTTAGATTATAGAAATGTGTTATAAAACTTTGGGCCTGCTGGTGGGCCCTGGCCATTAAAGGGGTTAAAGTAGCCAGGAAAGGCATACCTGTTTGTTCATGAACACATAAATGACTGGGTTGTACACAGCTGCAGTCTTAGAGAAGAAGGCTGGTGCTGCAGCCAGCCGAGGGTCAATATGGATGGTGGGACAGGCCGTAACGGTGATGGAGAATGCTGCATAAGGTGTCCAACCGACCATATACGCAATTATCATCACAATGACCATCCGTGCCACTGCTCGGTCCGGCTTCCGAGCATTACCCAGTCTTCCGTGAGTGTTCGATACCTGAAACATGAAGTTTTTATTGAGTGAGTAGGTTTATAGTGTGTCACTTTGAAAACTGTAAAGCAGGGGTGGGCAATGTGATATCATTATGGTTATACATTACGGTGCAGTTGCAGTTTTTCTGAATATATATATAACATGACTGCTGCTAATATGACTATGATAGTGATATCCCTTGTGGAATTGTGGGCTGATTAAGATGTTCAGTGTTTACATGCACATATTTGCCAGTGCTGATACATATGTATTTAGAAAAGGTGTAAATTGTGAGCACATCTACCTGGATTAGCATCACAGAGAAATACAATTCTAAAAATGCATAAAAGGAATGAAATGCACATATTTTAGCATAGCAGTCAGCTGAGCATTCTGAGTTCTGCAGAGTATGTTAAATATGTCATCAAATATCTGCTTGAAATGTCAGTTGAATCTAAAGACCTGTCTGATGCTGTTTATTTTTTCAGCTACACTAGGTCCATTTTGGGGATTTGAAGACCTCTCTGGTGGAAATGTGTAATTGCACACAACACACAGAAGAAAGTTTGGTAACATCGGTTGTGCTTCGGATGAATTCATTGATTGCAAGTATTCAAAGTGAATTATCAACTGTTGTCATCATGTCTTCATCAGTATAATGCTGATTTTGCAGATGAGGCTTAAACATCAAGCTGGACATTAGCTGTGTGTGTGACGTTAGTATGTGAACAGGCAAGATATCGTATTTTAGCGTGTTTTTTTCTTCTGACTCAGTGATGCCACTTTTTTCAGTTTTAAGAAAAAAAAAAAACTTACGTAGTAAACAAAATATTTTGATACATATTGTGTATGGTAAAAAATGTGTTTAAGTGCTGTGATATTTTTGTCATATTGCCCACCCTTACTGTAATGCACTGAAGATCTGAACCCACCTTTCTGAGCTTCTGCATGAGTTTACCATAAGAGACTATAATAACTCCAAGTGGAAGAATGAAGCAGGTGACAAAGAAAGTGATGATATAGGTGTGGTCATAGTAGTCTGTTGAGTACCTTAATGAAAAGAGAAAAGACTCATGACTTCACTTCATATATATATATATATATATATATATATATATGTATATATATATATACATATAAAACCTGAAAAAGAAATGGGGGAAAGTGACAAAGAGTCCCTGCAGGCTAAACAGGGAGAGAAGGAGAATAAGTTAAAGACACCTGCTGATTGCTTTGAACTCACCAGTTTGGTTCGCAGGTGGTGCCAATCTTGCTGACTGTGTAGCTGTTCCAGCCGAAAACTGGAGGAATGGTGCAGATGAAGGAGAATGTCCAGACAAACAGAAGACCCAGTGCTGCGTGTTTCCCTCCCAAACGGACGTTTTTCAGTGGGCGACAGATCACAAAGAAACGCTCAAATGCCAGGATTGCCAAAGACCAGAGAGCCACAATCCCTGCAAGAAAAGAGTTGACATGCAAAATCTGTTACGTTACACTTGCACTGGACCTCCAGTTTCATTCTGCAAACTAAGAGACAGAAAGGGAGACAGCACTTGTATGCACTGGTATGGTATAATTCATGATCTTCAGTAACAGCATGTATTTATGCTCTAGTCCTTTGTTCTGAACCATGGAAGGGAAATTAATGTTACTGTCAAGCAAGAGAAGATAAACACTGGATTGGGTTACAAGAGTTTTGCAAAAGAATTCAATGAAGTCTACATGTTACAGCAGCCTTTCCTCTTATAAATTATCTTCACAAAGTCACTTTAGTAGACCCTAGTGGGATATCTCTCTCATCTGGACCCTGCAGCAGTATGCCCTTGTCTTTGCCTTCATCTTTCCTTACTCTGAGAAAAGCAGCCACAGGTTAGAAAACTAAAGGTGATGGGGCAAAAACAGAGAAGAAAGTGAAGTTGAAGCAGATGATCACAAATATCACATTGGTGTTCCAGTAGGGATGTAATGATTCAGATATAATTACGTTTGATACAATTTTTTATTCCATTCAGTATTCAATAGAATTTTCAATAATTTATGTGTTAAAAATGTCATGATTCTACAAAGCTTTAATATACTACTCGGATCAGTTTAGCTCAGAAAAATACAAATTTGCTTCAAAACAAGCTGCAAAGCATGTCCTTGTGCAAAGTAGCGGTCTCATAAAAGCTATAAACTAAACAGAAACCCAAGCTGCCACAGTATGTCTCCAATTCCAACCCCCCAAAGCTGAAATAATACTTAAAAAGTCAAAAGTATTAACTATAATTTACTGTTTCAATTTTGTTTTAAGTTCCACTTGTGAATGAACTGATCAGTGAATGGATCATTCCACAAAAGATGGCATATAACAGCAGAGACTGATGAACATAATGTTAATATAGCCTTTTTAACATTACTGTTATTTGACTCTTCAATATTGTTTGCAAATTGTCACTTTATAAAGCTATGAAGCAGTGGGTGTCAAGATCCTCCAATACTCTTAGCAAAAAGGGGTCTGTATAGCAACAAAAAACTTTATCACTTGTCACAATAGTGAAACACCCTTTCTGGTGCTATGTAGAACCATTTTTAAAAGAACTACATACAACAGGATTTCCATCATAAAGTAGAACTATTTAACCTAGCAATGAACCATTTAAATGGTCCTTACAGTGTTCATGGTTCCTATACTAAGGAACCATCGAAGAACTATTTTTAAGAGTGTTGTCAATGAACATTGGGGGGTAGGTGTGCTACAGGAATAGTTCATCTGAATATAATATATAATACATATATAAATGTATTATTTTCCCATCCAAAATGTATTCAATTAGCTAAGATATGTTTAGTGTATACATACTCACGTTTGCTTATTTAGATCTGCACTGGAGCTACAACAAATATGTAACTAAACATTAATGTAAATCTTCTATTATATTAGCCACACAGCTCCAGTGTAAAACCAATAAAGCAAACTTCAGACACCAAATGTATCTTAGTCAACAGACTACCCACATGAAAATCTGATATATGGCAATATATCGCTCTTGTTGGAAGAAAATCTTTTATCTCCAAAATGATAACTTTACAGGAAAAGGAAAAAAAAACTACTTCACGTTTAATGTAAGTCAAAGGAATCAGACTTGTTTTCAAGTCATTTTGGGCTGTTTCTTTTGGTCCATTCTCCATGAAATTTACATACAATGTCAAGGGCAATAGGCATTTTCAAATTATGTTAAAAAAAATGACAAAAATGGAGATATAAGGTTTTCCCAACTTATATTTGTCACACATGGACTTACCTGCCAACTTATTTGAAATTGGCCTTTTTCAAATATGGGACACGTTTCAGCTGTACGTCAACATATATAAACATATATGTGTAACATACTTAAAAACAGATAATAGAAAATATTATTCATATATAGATGGCAAATATTATTAAATTATGCCAGATTCATGTTATATAACATAAGGTTTTTATACATCTTCTTTGTTTGTTCCACATACTTCCTAATAGAGTGAACATTAGCATAAAAAGCTACATAACCAAACTCTAAAAACATGCACATGTAAGCTATGCAATAAAATCATGAAATGAATGAAAGTTTAGTTCCCTGGCACATTTTATTAATTTAATATTTAAAGCAAACAGTTAATATAGTAACAGTAATAACTGTACTGGGATGTATTCACAGTAGATACATATGTATGATCCATATGTTATGCATATGTGTCCAATATTTGATACTTAAATTAAATGTGCACTTCATATATGTAGGCGTATGTTAAAACATATGCCTGACCCTTTATGATAAATGTGCATAATAAGGGTACATTTGGGTATAAGGTAGAAGTTGTGAAAATTTGATTTTCTGGTGATCCTTGCCTTTAAGTTATGGTCAAAGCTGAGCATTGTAGCAAAGACTCACCGAAAAAAGTGACAGCAAATCCCTCCAGCACACAAGCCCACTTGCCCAGGAAGAAGTAGCCACATGCATTAGTGAGGAAACTTATGGTGCCTCCGATGAGTGACACGAGGAAATCAGCCACAGACAGGTTAACGATGATGTAATTCAGCGGCTGCCTCAGCTGTTTGAATTTGAACGTTACTAGCATGACGGTGAAGTTTTCAGTCAGGGATAAAGAAGTCACCACGAACATCAGGCACGCCAGAAAAGTGTAGTTCCAGGGGGCGATGGACTTAAGGGGACCAGCAAAGGGGTTTGCGGGCTCTGCAGCGTCTCCAGGCTCCGCGCTCGCTGTGCTCTCCGAGTACACCACTCCGTTCACTGCGGCTGCGTGCTGTTCCATGGCTGAGACGGGGCCGGACACTGAGGACAGCGGAGAAAGAAAAAGTTCATAAAACCATCTCTGAGGAGCCAACACGGCGCGTCAGAGACAGAGAGAGACCCCCTGTGTGCCCCTGTCGACCTGGCTTGGCACCAAGCCTGTGTTCTGTGTTAGAAACAGGCGCTCTGCCGAGTGTCCAGTTCTGCTGGAAACATGTTCTGGAGGCAGGTCAGAACTGTTCCAGTCCAATCTGAGAGAACTGAGACTGAAACTCACTTGACGTGTGTCTTCGCGCTCCGTCCACTGCTCATCGTGGGCATGTCCACCGAGGGCTCCTTTTTATACACTCGGCCGTTTCCATTCCCTGAAGGTGTGTGCTACAGTCGCTTTGCCTTTGGCCAACTTTGCGGAGCTTTAGCTGAGGGGGCGCACATCCGTGCCGCTGCGTCTGCGCACCCAGAGCCCCCTTTCACACGCCAAGAGCACTGGATTCAGCACTGCGTTATTCATCAGTGCATCAGTAGCAGAACATCAGTCTGTATTGCTCATTGCACGTGCCATTGTGTTTTCTGCGTGTCTTTATAACAGCTTTGTAAGTGCTGTAGTAGTTAGATTGTTCATTTGTTTGCAGCATTTGTGTGGATCCCTGCAAACAAAGTGGAAAGCAACACGATGTTTCATAATTTCTTCATGATTAAAGGGTTAAGATGTAAACAAAGTCATTCAGAGTGGTTTGGTGTGAAATGCACCATTCTAGAGAAACTCACTGAGTCAGATTTGTTGACAGTGGTGGTGACAGGAACCAGACATGAGTTAGTGCCTCTAAAAGTAATTACATTAAATGGTTATCAACACACTGCCTGACTGTTGTTTTACAATAGTTCCTATGTAATCTTGCAATAAAATGTTTTTTTTAATCCATTCATGAACTCTACAGTAAGGCAAAATAATACCCAAAGTTTTTTTTTTTCAGATTTTCCATTATTTTCTATCAGCTATATTCAATAAATCATTATCGCAAAACGTAAAAAAAAAACAATGTCTCAGGCATCAGGCAGCATTTTTCATGTTATAACGTTCTGTGAGGTAGCTTTTAGAGGTATTAAACATTCTTATCATCACCGCTGTGAACAGTTCTGTCAGCACGTTTCCCTAGAATGGTGCTTTTCACATCAAACCACCCCAAAAAGATGTTGTGCCTCATTCACCAACCATTCCTAAGAAGAAACTTCCTAAAACTCACCCGGTTTTGACGAAGATTCTGACATTCACCAGTGTTTTCTTATTTGGGATTTGTTCTTAGGTAAGAGCAGAATCAACGCACACTCAAGAGCACAAAGGTGGCAACAATTCTGCAGTTCAAGAACACATCATGAATCTGACATGAGACTTTTTCTTAGGATGTTTCTCAAGAATAAATTTAAGAAAAAGCATAGGAAGATTTTTGGTGAATGAGGCCCATTGTGCAAAACAGAACTGAAGTACTTCACCAGCACTGGAAGTGACTATTGTTTTTGTTTAAAGTACTTAAAGTAAGTAAGTAGTTTTATTAATAATAATATTATACATTGTATATATAATACAGTTGTGTATGTCCCTGATTAGTCATTCATTTTCACTTGTTGGCACAGATTTGCATGTACCCTGAATCTGTATCCCAGTAAGCTGAAACTTGTGCTGGTTGGGTCTTTCGTGGAGCGTGTTAGAGCACAGGATCCTGGAAGAGAGCTGAATGAACCAGAGCAGCTCACGCAAGCCAAAGAGAGGCTGCTGTGGAATGTACACAGCTACTATGTGTAAAGGGCTTTTTTACTTAAATGAAGATTGGAGAGACTCTTAGGCCCAATCCCATTTCTTCTTTTTACCTCTACCCCTTGATTTCGAGTGTCACCCTAACCTCTTGGACCTGAGTTACAAGGGGTAGTGGTTAAAATCTTCTCCTACGAAATGGGACAACCCTCAAATTAAAAAAAAAACAACAACAAAAAAAAACATTGCTTTATTAACCGCTACTAGCGGTGCTCTGTAGGCGACCCAGCCCGACTTCGGGCATCATATCCTTTCAAAGAGGGGGGATACGATATGTTTTATAATCGCCCACCACTAATTCTGTGGTGATATGAAGCTGAATTCAGCTGTTCACCAGCTTCTTGTTCGAATTTTCCCGTTCCACCCTAAATGGTGCAGAAGTTACATTCTGGCGCCTTAGGCGTCAGTACTGCTGGACTATTTAAGGTGGAACGGGAAAGTTAGCATGCTAGCTACCGAGACATTAACATACTATTAGCGATTTTTTATGCTTGTTATGAAGAAAACGACCACAATATATTGAAACGAAATTAAACTAAGATAATACAATGGGTATCATCATTTTTTAAAGGAGAAAATACTTAGATTTTTGGGTTTCTTTGGTCGCTCGTGCAGCCATCTTGCCGTTTTTCCTTTTTTCTCATAACACTACGTTTGGATTGTGCCTCTGAAAAACCTCCGTTTGGAGGGCCATTTAGCCCTAACACTTCGCCCTACCCCTCTATCTCAACAAAAATTGGTAAGTGGTAGGGGCAAGGGGTGAAATGGGATTGGGCCTTAGTTGTCAGCCCAGAGTTAAACTGTTGTTTTCTTTTGCTTAACTTTATCCTGCTCTGTGTTATCTCACTGTTCCTCTGCCTGATATCATACTCTCCAGCTTATCATTCTCTTACACGCAACCCTGTAGTTTACTTATATCTCTTGTCCAAAAAACAAACATTCAGTTGTTCTTGAGTGTAATAAGAACAGTCAGGTGTTGCATATGCAGAAATCTGACATTGTTTTTGGTCTTATGGCCCTAGCTAAGATAAAACTATGTTAAAGGGGAATTCCATTGATTTTTCAAAATTTCTGTATAATTGTTTAGATGAAACCAGAGTTATTTACATTGTTTTGATGCAAAATGCTCCATTCTAGAGAAACATAGTCAGAGTCAGAGTTGTTCACAGCAGTGGTGACAGTGATCATCTTTAAAAGCTTCCTAACAAAGTTATTACATAAAAATGGTTACAAATGTACTTCCCAATATCTGAGACATTATTCTATGACAGTTCTGGGAAGGTTTTGGCTTAAAAAAGATCAGATTTACCACTATTATACCGTCATCATCGTTTCGTATTAAACTCAGAAGAGAGTTTTCGTATTAAACTCTATTTGTGTTGTGACCTCTGGTTCCTATCACTGTAAAGAAATTTGACCTGTCAAGATTCTTTAGAATGGCACATTTCATTGTTTACATTTCAGCCACTAAATTATGCAGAAATTTAGAAAAATTACTGAAATTCATCTGTAACTGGACCTCATGTAAAGTTGGTTATTCTGCTCCTTTTTTGACAAAACCTTACCCTGCTAAAGTCCAATTTTAAGAAAGTGAGATTAACCATTTTGTTTATTATGTGTCCAATATATGGCGGTCCTACTAAAACCATGAAAAACGGGACTTGGTAATCACATATAGTCATTATGGAGAGAAGAAAGGCCTAAAATGATGGATAATAAGTGTTTGACTAAATTTTATCTTTTTCTATACAGATTAAAAACTAAAAAACTGACCCCAGGCCTATTTACTTTGTTTTCTCTTCAGCTTGCTATATTTTTCCATGAAATCCAGTCACTGAGGTGAGTGATCTTTCTTACCTCACAGCAATCAATAGTGCAAGAGGCAAGTACGAGGAAGCCCACGACCCAACAGCATAGCTTTGTAACCCTGTGGGGCTTTTAAAGAGTGTTGACATTTGTTCTTTCCATGTGGGAATGTCTTTTTAGAGCTCAATGTGACCAGTCACTGAGGTCAGTCCATGCTTTCATTCACAGGTTAGACTCAAAATGCTTAAAGCTCATCTTTTGTGGGTGGGATTCCCAAAAAAGAGTAGATCTTGTAAACAAATAATACAGAACTCTGCTACATGAGTCTCAACCAAAGCCAGGAGGAAAAAACATCACTATCTTTGCATTTGCTGGCAGCTTTAGAGTTGACTTGCTTTAAAAGTCTTCGAACTTTGGTTTTCCTGACACAGAATAAAAGCTGGTCTTGGATAAAATTGCACTGCCACTGCAGATGTGTTTAACACAAATATGTGTTTACATATGTTTTTGCCATGAAACTCAATAAATACTGTAGCACATACATATTTATTCACAAGAGGCACCATTTAGTTTCAGAGAAATTAGATTTTACTGTCTGTAACAGAAGCTAAATACAAAGTTTACTTTGTCTGTTCGTTGTTTGTTTATGGTTTACTTTTTCAAACAGTGAATATGTTTACTGCTTTCTTTATTCTTTCTATGTGTTCTTTCACTCTTCCTATGGTTTATTTCTCTTATATCAGTTATTTCTAATGAATCTTACTATTTCAGTATCTTCAATTTTTACACAAAAAAATGAACCAACAGGGTTGTTTGACTTACAAAATGAAAATATGTCAACATTAAATAAATGAATTGTGTTGTTTTTAAATAACTGATTTATGTAAAATGGACAAGAATGAATGAATGTATATTTTAATTAATTAAATGTATTTATGTTGTTCGAAAGAAAATTATATTACAAAAGAAATCCAGATGCTCTAAAATGCATTTTTTGCAACAATAACAAATTATGTATATACTGACTCTGCTCTCTTTCACTGACTGGAAATGCGTGGTATAATTGAATCAAAGTTCATGCAGCGATGTATTTTTTGATTGTCATTTCATTCTAAACTCCAGACTAACTGACAGCAAAAAAAGCACACTATTTTAAACTCCAAGCCCTTTTTGTCTGTGAAAACTGGCTGATTCGGCGATCAGCCTGAAAATGTCAAATGACAGTGCATCTGTTGTTATCATCTAATCGTTAAAATGTCTCACTTTTTAAAAAGAAAAAAATGACAAGATTAAAAATACCAGCACTGATTCATCCCCAGCAGCCTGGCCTCCTCAGACTGACTGCTTGTGCACCTTCACTCGAGCAAAAACAATTAAAGGGAGGACTCTTTTGCCATGGCAACCAC